TAGAGGTAGTTTTTCTCTTTCTTTTAAGCCCTATTTTGCTAGAATCCATGTATTATTGACAAAGTTTTGGGGGGTACCCACGAAGGACGTTGGAGTATACCCATTCCGCCAGCCTATCAGCCACAGCTGCAAGCCTGGGGGGAAATCCTCGGGTGACTAGCTCAAGTATATGCTCAACAACTACGTCCTCCTTAATCTTAGTCAGATTCTTTGATTTAGGCTAGTAATCTGCTTGTGGAGTCTGTCCTGCGCGTTGGCGGCTTAGTGTTAATTAAGCAACGTTGTAGATAGCTGCAGCGTGTCGCTGAGAGAGTGTCGCGTCTTGTTTAAGAGCCTGAAGGGCAGTCTGTATCTAACGTTTATTAGAAGGTTCTATCTGGCGTTGTTATTGAGGCATCACGTAGGAAGGTAGAGTTTGGTGGGGGCTTGGCAAAAGTGATCCACGAGCCCGGGTGATCCACAAGCCCGTGAGGTACGTTAGTTGTAGTAACTTGTGTTAGTTGTGCTAAGAGAAAATGGCTGGTTTGGTGATATGGCCAGCTTGGTGATAATCTACGTTATAGCTGGCTTGGTGATAATCTACGGTATTGTGTTCTTCTTTGTTGTTGTCCTGCTTGTATCTTTTCTCTCTAAGGCTCGCTGCGGGGTCTGTTTTGATGACGTGTTTGTGATGCCGCTGAGGTAAGAGGTGCTCAACAACGTGAGGAAGCAGCACCAGACCACTGCCAATAACACGTGATCTGCTTCTCCTTTCAACCGTTACAAATGGGGTTGCAGAAGCACCTTCCTCAGCACTCCACACTCACACCACCCGTAGCGGCAGCGCTCCACCAAGAGACCTCTTGATAATAGCTATTGTGTGTGGCTCTACAGCCTCATTTTGACGGAGCCCTGATCTTGATTTTCGGGCGTCACACAAATTCCGGTGTCGCGCGCACGGCCATTGATGGAAGCGACGTCTGGCCTGAATCGAGGAAAGCAGCACGCCCGGAGCACCCGCAGTAGCCCGTGTTCCGAGTACTGTACCGGTACGGATACCCCGCGCTGCAACGGAACTCCTCGTTCTGTAGTACGATGACACACATTCGGGCGGACTTATATCAAGCTTGCTACAGTCTAAAATTACAATAATTACTGCCTCCAGAACGGTCTTGTCGATGACTCACCACAATCCACCGTCTCAATATGTCTTGTTCAGCACCTCGGCTCAAGCAGATCGCCTGTGTACGACGAAAGTCGAACCTTACGCGCAAAGAATTCTTCGACTACCACTTTCTAGTTCATGGGTCAATTTCCGATGAGCCAACCGATGTCGACCAAAAACCGCAGTACATTCGTCTAGCATTTAAGCTATCGTGATCCAAGTTAACAACTTCAGCAAATACATTCAAACCCACTTCTTCGATTCAGCCTTCGGTGAGAGACCGGGTAGCTTGAGAGGTACAGGCAACTATCCATGGACCGGTCGTGATGGTATGACGGAGCTCTACTTCCGGGACTGGGACCATCTAAAGGCTTGCTTTGGGTCCGAGTTTGTCAGAACAAAGATCGGGCCCGACGGTGCGAACTTCAATGACCTCGAAACAGCAATTCCAATGATGGTTCTCGAGAAGTCTCTGGAGTTTGAGAGCAATAGGCCGTCATCTGTGTTGCCCGACGAAGGTTACCAGACTGTTGCAGTGCTCTTCGTAGCGAGTGGCTCTAAAGACAGCGCAGAGCAGCTCGAACATACTTTCTCGCCGGCCTTGGTCAATGCGTTACGAAAGCATGCACAAGACGAGGTTTACGGGTTACAGGCCAACATCAGCATACCGTCATCCCAATTTGACATTCGGGCTCACTTTGGCGGCCAGAACATGCCGGAGTATCCGGTGACATATAAGATATACATGAAGGATACTGCATCTGTGACTTCAGTGCGCAATGCACAGAAAGCATTCATAGAGGGGCTGAGTGAGCAAGTTGATGCGAGCAACACGTTCATCGCCTTTGGTAAGGAGGGGCTAATCCTGGATGTCGGAAACGAGGTCAAGGTAAGTCACTGAATTCCTCGAGGTTAACCTCAATACTGACAGAAATAGTTTGATTCCAGTCGCCAGCCACAAATTCTCTAAGCAAAGAACACTACTCACCAAGCACTTGCCATTACCGTTGTGCGAACACACGTGATCGGCTCCGTCAAATATGCGCGTTTACTGATATTTTATGTACGATTCAGATTTCGAAGTTTGCGATAGTGTTTCCTGTCGTACAGGGTTCAAGTAGAGGTGCCAGAGGGCGCGGCTCCCGAGGACATCGCGCCGGATGGAGCAGCGCCACCGCCCTCTGAGCTTGTGGCTGACAGATCAACAGCGAGAGTGATGTAACCGACCATACCATTGGCCACGTCGACACCATCGAGTGGCTCGACGACGAAGTTGGGACTCCACCCAGTGGTTGTCTCTCCAGAAAAGATGCTGTCGACAGCGTTTGTGGTGCGGTTGATCTCCGTGTGACTAGCGTATGGCTCCATAGCCATGATTTGCGCGCTAAGGTCCTCGTCGAAGAACAGCTGTCCCGTGGAGACAACGTTGCTGGATACAACGGTGCCGTTTGCGCGTACGGTCCAGTTGGTGTGCGACCGAACGTGGATGTGGATCGTGCGTTCGACGTAGAAACCGGGGAAGACGGTTTTCATCTCCATCACACCGTTGTCATCGGTCGGCCACATGCCTATGGTGGACATTAGATAGAAGCTCCTAATAGCTGAGTGATAACGTACCGCGGAGGAAAGTGGTGTCGCCAGTGTGAAGGTCGAGGCCAGGACCAATGGTCACATTGAGCTCCTGGAGGAGCTGTTCGAAAGGAGTGTTGGGCGAGAGGGCCTCGAAGGAGGAGTAGCTGCCGGTGGCATTGCCTACGCAAGGTTAGTGATCAGCACATAAGTGAACAAGTGTAACTTGCAGTGCCACAGGTCAATCAAAACGTTGGGAGCGGGCTCGCAAGTGTTTGTGTCAAGCACACCGATGTCGAGGTAAATCGGTATACCGGCCTCGCCCTCGCTCATATCTTGTCGGAGGGTATCAGACTGAGGCCAAACGTAAGGTCCAGCAGTGACCTCCGGCACGAGAATACATGTGTCGTTCTGGATCGTGGGATAGTGTGGTGATTCCTGATGGATTGTAACATTGCTGTTCCTGGTAGCAAGATTGCGTTTGGCCAGAGAACGCTTCTTGCGCGCCGCAGTGAAAGCCCCAGCTGATGCAGCGCATCGCTTGGAGATCGACTGGTGTTCAGCCACCTGACGAGCAGAAACCTCGTGATGGGGGTGCGCAGCAGCACCGAGGGCCAATCCAAGTGTGATCAGTGCAGCGTTGGTACGCATGGCGGAAATCGTGATCTGATGATGTTCAAACCGTTCACTTCATCACAGCCTTCTTATACAATGACACCGTAGGTGATCCTTGTTTTGTTCTCGCGACGATATACCGCGGACAACGTTGTACGCGCATGTCTGGGAGGGATCGTGTAACGCTACACTCTCACTAAGGATGCTAAATGCACTGCACCTGTAAACAGTCCTTTCACCTTCCAAGCTTACAGCTTGGAATTCGCGGAAGACCAATGAACATGTCGGTAATTGTGGCGTCATTTAAATTCAGGGTAATAGGACGACGAGGCGGACGCGTAAGAGCGTGGGGCGCCACGGCCCGCGAGGCTTGTTCTGTACAAAGGAGGTATCTGAGCGGACTGTAAATACGAGTTGCTTGGACTGAGCATTGATTTATCATCTACAAGGGGAAATTTTCTGGTGTGGTGAACCGTGTTTCGACCCGCTCGGGCCGACCCCTTGTGTATTTTATGGGTCGAGCATGAAACGCCAAGTCGTACGAAAAAAAATCTGTTCGATTTCAAGGAAGGTCAAATTCAATGGCAATGCTCGCAAGAATGCTGTCGCTTAACTATATGAAACAGTTGCTCTTCGACCCAGGACATCGCTGGATTACCATCTGCAGCTCGCTCTTGGAATCTGGATATGCAGTCAGCCGAAGTTCAGAGTATACTCCTCAAAGGTCTCGCACTGTCAAGAGTCTTTCCCTCGGCCTTGACCAATTCGGGTATAGTGGCCTCAAGTGAGGCTCCTGTTGGTTCCCAGCCAAGATTCTTCTGTGCATTCGATGATTGTGTACGCGCATTTGTGCCCCACAATATCGATGCATGTCCACTCAGAGAGTCGGCCTTTGCTGCATCGATTAATTACCTCAATGTGATCACCGGCCTTGATGAAGCCTTGCTTGTGTGCCTCCCTAGTAATCAGGACACTAAGATCTCCAAACGCCTGTTCAATCAGAACGTGGGCTTCAAATACCAGTTAAGAAACTTACAAGCTCGCCATGCTCGACGTTGAAGACACCATCCTCGTTCCAAAAGCCGTTCTTGCTATTTTTGGCGGCCCCCACCAAAAGCGAGACGAGGCTGGCAAGATCGTGAACGTGAATGTTGCTCCAGATAGTTTTGCCCTCGTTCAGTTTGAAGCCGTGACCGAGCTTCATCGTCGCTTGAGTGCCATCTTGACTGAGGAAGCAGCTTGCGAGATGATGTTATGTGCAGACCGGAATGTTCAGCATGTGCTATAGTGTGAAGGATCTCTCCACCGATGAAGCTATCACCCATTAAAACGGACCAATCGTTCAGCTGCTTGGCACACCCTGTGGCTCCTGTGAGCAAGATCTTGGCCATGGCGAGATTGTTGTTTCCGAGGTCGGGTGCTTGTGGGGTCTGAGACATAATATCTCTTTGCCTATCTGTCTGTATTTGAGGTCAATCGATTGCTAAGAATTTGTTTAGTTGTAAGCTCTTCGTTGGCTGCCAGATGATAAATCACGATAAGGTGTGCCTCTTGGACGTGCTCGGAGTCTCCTGCCCAACATGGCCTAGCTCAACCCCGCTGGACCTAAACTTTACTAATGAGCGATAACGTAATCGGCCATTGAGTCGGCCAGGCAATTAAGCCGGCCACCTTTGCCAAGATCACACCTCATTCTACCTCTTATCTAATGTCTTAATAACCTAATCTTAGATTACTTCCTTGTAAGGATAGGATAATCCTTGCTATCTAAGCTATAAAATCTAACGCATTAATAAGCTAATAGCGCGCTGCTGCTATCTATAACATTCCTTAATTAACCCTCTAAGACTAACGCGCTAAAACTACCTTATAACACAATTCCCACTATAGTAGATTAAGGCTTACTAAGCCTAAAGAGGAGGTAGTTATACAATACATAAGGAAGCTTAACGCGTGAGGCTTTGCCCCTACACTAAGCTACGTACGTGAAATGGCCAATTAACTGCTAGCTGCCTATGGTGGTAGTAAGGTTAGAGAAAAATAGGCTAGGCACCTTGTAAACTAGAAGCCTAAGATCAAGTCTTAGGTAACCAGACAGCGCAATCACTAGAGAGTCTTGTGCAGTGATCTAGCTATTATTAGCCCCTAGTTCAACCTTGTGCGCAACGTCAAAGCTAAATATAGCATCTAGGACTAAGATACCTACAACTTTAACAAGACTAGCTTCTAGATAGGTGTTAGAGGGTCTGTTAAGGTAGTAATAGTGTCTAAGAGGTATCTTAAGCTACTTAGAGTCTAGCCTAGCAACTGTAAATAGGCAATGTTAATTACTACAATTAATGCTATAGGGTAGGTTATCCTACCCTTTATTATCTTTAAAGCAAAGAACTACAACTAAGCCTAGTATTATAACCTAAAGGATTAGTGTATTAGTGTTAGCAAGAATAGCTAGACAACAAATAAACTAGGCCTAGAGTGGCTGAAGCACTTCATCCAGCATACAACAGCCTGGACAGTGGGTAGCCACCAGCTGCTGATTATTGATGGCCATAAGAGCCACAAGTCGCTTGCCTTCTAGGATCTGTGTAAGGAGAATAAAATTATTACTCTCTATATGCCTCCTTACACCTCCTATATCCTACAGCCACTTAATGTAGGCTGTTTTGCCCTATTAAAACAAGCATATAAGACAGAAATTAATATCTTAGTAAACAGCTATATTACTTATATTAATAAGAAAGTATTCTTAGCTGCCTTTAATTAGGTGTTTAATAAGGTGTTTTTATCTAATAATATCTAATTAAGCTTCTAAGCAACAGGCTTAGTTCTAGATAACCTAGAGGTAGTGCTATTAAAGCTTAAAGTAAAGCCTTGTACGCTAACACTACCTTTACTAGGGCCTACTACCTAGCAACCTAGAATACTAAGCAATGCTGCTAAAATATTAGCTTAATTAATGCTAATATCTAACTAGATTAGGCAGTACTATAGTTTATCTCTAGCTTTAATTATTAAGATAGTGCAGTAGTTTAAAAAGGGAGCTAATATAATAGTGCATTCCTAGGTGCTTATAGTAGCTAAGATAGTTAAGCTTTAAGTAGTAAATAAAGCTACTTCTAAGTGTAAAGCACGTAAAAGGAAGCAGATCTAGTATAGAGGAACCCTATTATAGCAAGAGGCAGAGGAAATAATAGCTACACAAGAGGTGGTGGTGCAGGCAGAGGCAGAGAGGCGTGAGGAGAGGGTGCAAACAGGTGGTAGTAGAGAGGGTTCTCAACGCTGTGGGAGGTGTAGTTAGGCTGGGCACAATAAGCGCACATGTAAGCAAGATACTGTAGACAGAGTGGATTAATTTGACGTACTGTGAGCCACAGCACGACGTTGTGGTGTTGAGTTATCTGCGTGTCAAGGTGGGTGGCTGCATAAGGTGGCCGGCTCAATTGCCTGGCCGACTCAATGGCCGATTACGTTAGGTTAGATGGGTAACATTGTTGCGGTGTCGAGGGCAAATGTATATAACGAGTGTATTGTGTTGCTCTCCTTGTATCTTTGCTCTCCAAGGCTCGCTGCGGGGTCTGTTTTCATGACGTGTTTGTGATGTAGCTGAGGTAAGAGGTGCTCAACAACATGAGGAAGCAGCACCAGACCACCGCCAACAACACGTGATCTGCTTCTCCTCTCAACCGTTACAAAGATGCTACCTTCTCTGATACGTCCTTGCTCAACACTAGTGTCAACACGCTCAATCAACACTGAAACCATCCTGGCCAGCAAAAGTCGAGGAACAACTAAGGGACGCACACACAACCTTGGAGGATGCGCAACGTGTAGACGTAGGCATTTCAAATACGGCCATACGAGACCAACTTGTGCTACGTGTTGTAAAGCAGGGCTTGTATGTGGCGGCTATATACCATCGCAGATTCGTTGGGCGTCCATAACCTGCGGGCCGGCTGAAGCCCCTGGACTAAGTAGGCAGTCATCTCAGGTAAACCAAGGTGCGTAAAACGATTGTGTGCCCTTCAGAAAAGGCATGCTGATCACGATGCAGAAGGTGCTGAAGGCCGGGAGGCTGCTCCACTTCTGAATAAGGACCAGCTTCCTTCTGTCGCTGAGACAGTGCCATCAACCGAGAGCCCACGCACCGTGCAACAAGATGGCTCTAGCAACATGGTGGACGATGGTTTGCCAAGTGATACGTCCTCACTCGACATTGGTAGCAACAACATCTCCACGAATGCGACAGATACGGAGAACCAGTCACTTTGGCCTCAAGAGCCAGGTCTCTTCGATCCCTCTTCAGTTGGGTCCATGTCGGATATCGAGTCTCTTTTCAAGTCCTCCAACGGGCTGATATGGAATGACTTGTTCGACACCACCTTCGACATATCGATGCCTGTCATACATGACCAGCTCCATGATCAGCCTTACAGCGATTCGCTTGGTCTTCTTGCGCACGTTGCACACCAGCCGCAAGGCCATGGTGGAGCACACCAGTCATTCGACTACCCGTTCTCCCCGGACCCATTTTACAGCAAGCAACACCTTGATCCAACGAATATGCTGTTCGACTCACAGCCACCACCGTACGCTTCAAAAAAGCTCGATGAAGCGCAGGTGCTTCAAGACTCCAAGTATTTGCTTCGGCACTTCAGAAATAACGTCATTCCACAGTCCGGCCCGTTGCCGATGACATGTAAATCGCCATGGAAAACGCTCAATTGGAGTAGCGCCGTTCAGGCTCATGCTGAGTTGACGCGGCTACAAGGGACGAACGTAAAACATGCTTCCCAAGCGACTTTTTTGCAATTCTGGGTTGCTCTGCTCATATGGTGGCAAAGACATCACCTTCGTCAAGTGAGATGGACCCTCTCAGAGGAATGCAGATCCTGGAGTATGCTTCTACGCGAGTAAAGAGGCACATGCAAGAATTCTTGAGACTGGAAACTTCTGGTGAAGGAAAGGCGAAGTACAAAGATCAGCTCATGGCCCTCAGACTGTTTCCGCCACTTACCCTCTGCCCTCCTCAACAACTGCATAGTGATGTTCCTATCCTTCACGATGCACATCTGCATCATGTATGGGTTCCCTGTCCCTTGCGCTATGACATCCTCTAAGGAAGTTGTAGCGTACGGGGACAAAACCATCAGTATTCCTGCATTCGCTGCTGCTCTTGATGTAGCAAGCTCTCCATCTTTGTGCGCCAAGCAGTGCATCGCACTTGGACTGAAACCACAGGGGAACGTGGTCTTCTTACCAAAGATCTCGGCGCTCGTGTCTACGTTAGAGACGTTTCGAAAGATACGGGGACGAATCTAGTATCGATTATACGCGGTTACATTTTCTCGGAGCCTGGTAGAATCAGTCACTGCAGGTGTCTATCGCCGCGCATATACTTACGTTATCATATCCATGGCACCGCCATTGTAATACTCCCGGAAGCCTTCGCGGAGATTCTCAGAACCATGATGTTCAAGCTCACGAATTGAGTAGACAAGAGGATCGGGCGCTAGAGGACGATTGGCCATTCTTCGGTTCAAGTAGTGCTCGCGATTTGTGTCTTGCACGTCCTTTTCGCACCAAATTTAGGAGATGAAGACCAGAAAGCCACAAGGACCTGAAGGATTTAAGATCCAAACTCCGCACCGCTATGCTTGGCTGGTATATAGGGGTGACACGACAGATTCGGTGATTCAGACATTGTAGAGACGGCAACTGGCAGCTGACCTGATTGCGGAATCATGAGATATCCTATCGCGGAGAAGCTTACTAGTTCAAGTGTGCTTCTCATCACCTCTTCTCTCCCCGCAATTCGTGGTACCAGAAACAAGTACCTCGGAAACCATCACATAGGTACTGGGGACGGGAGTGACCTACATAATACTTACCCGATTGGGAAGGACTCTCCTACACGGAGTGTTCATGGTCGGAGTAAAGCATTGCACTTCACGAACCCTTACAAACTGAGAACTTATCCACGAAGTCCTCGAAGATCGATTCCTGGACCAGGATTCGAGATGTCGCTGTGCAAATCTGGCTCTGGTTGGACATGATGCCGTAGTGTGACCACTTGACTGCCTGCTCCATGTCCGCATCATCAAATACTAGCAACGGCGACTTGCCTCCAGTGTCGGATGTGGTATTCTTCAGCCCGACTGCGGCCATCTTCATGATCTGTGTCGCCGTGGCGGTGGATCCTGTGAAGGCGACTTTGTCAACTAAGGGGTGCTGGACCAGCGCAGAGCCAGCTTCGCGTTCAAGACCGTTGACAATGTTGACAATACCAGGAGGGAAGCCGACTTCCTTGACGAGCTTTGCGAAGACGAGGATCGACAAAGGTGTCTGTTCTGCTGGCTTCAGCACAACAGTGTTGCCACAAGCTAGAGCAGGGCCGAGCTTCCAGCAAGCCATCGAGAGAGGGTAGTTCCACGGGATGATCTGTGCGACAACACCAATCGGCTGTCTCTTGGTGTAGGCAAACTACTGTGGCGATGTGTCACTCGTCTGGCCATGGATCTTGTCTGCCCATCCACCATAGTAGCGGGTTGTATTAAACGACTCCGGTAGGTCATCGTTGTAAGCCACGCTGTACGGCTTGCCTACCAGACTCAGTTTAGTTATTAGAACTTTCAAGCATGCTTACCGTTATCCCAGGCGTCTACGAAGGAGCTCGTTTTTAGTCATGCACCGCACTGACCACCCCAACTAAAATGTGATCGCGCATCCCAATTTGGTGAGCTACCTCACAAAATCAATACATAACAACACAAATACATAACTAATTAACGTACTCCACGGGTGAGTCGCCCACACAGGCGAGTCGCCCACTTTTGCCAAGCCCCCACCAAACCACCCTTCCTACACTAATGCCTCCTCAACACCACCATTTAGACGCGTTAAAGGAAGCTTAGATACAGCTTGCACTCTAGGCTCTCAAACAAGACGCGACTCTCTCTTAGCAACACGCTGCAGTAGGCTGGCGGATGGGTAGGGTATGCTTTTTTACGTTTTGGCTTATAGCTTCTTAACTAGCAAAGATACGCTTACATAATCTATTATTTAATAGAAGCGCCTAGTATTGCGCCTTCTAATAAAAAAAGAATTAGCTTATTCTGCCTAGTATTAGCTAAGTTATTAACACTACCTAGCAAAGTATACCTATTAATAGGTATGCTTGCTAGGTACCCCCCCTTTTTTAACCTTTTCTAGCCTCTAGCTTGTGCAGTTTAATAGTTATAACAAAACCCTCTACTATAGAAATGTAGAGGTAGTTTTTCTCTTTCTTTTAAGCCCTATTTCGCTAGAATCCATGTATTATTGACAAAGTTTTGGGGGGTACCCACGAAGGACGTTAGAGTATACCCATTCCGCCAGCCTACGCTGCAGCTATCTACAGGGTTCCTTAAAAGACACTAAGCAACTAATACACAGGACAACCTTCACGCGCTAATTCTATAGCTAACTTGCAGAAGCTAGACAACAATAAGGAGAAGGTGATTATTAAACATGTTCTTAAGCTAGACATGCAAGGGTTTTCCCCTTAGCTCTTAGATGTGGCTACTATAGCTAATTCTTTGCGCGCTAAGCGCAATCTAGGCCCTATTAGCACAAACTAGCCTATTATGTTTATTAAGCGACACCTAGAGCTTAAAGTTAAGTTTAATTACAAGTATAACTATAAGAGAGCCCTCTGTAAGGATCCTAAGGTTCTGTAGGGCTAGTTTAGCCTAGTAGCTAATGTTAAAGCTAAGTATAGTATCTAAGATAAAGACACATACAACTTTAACAAGACAGGCTTTATAATAGGCTAGATCTCCCTAGGAGTAGTTGTTACAGCTTTAGAGTAACAAGGTCAGCTAAAGGCAGTCTAGCTAGGCAACTAGGAGTAGGCTATAGCTATAGTAGGCATTAATGCTAAAGGATAGGCTATTCCTGCCTTCCTTATCTTTAAGGCCTACTACTACCTCTCTACCTAGTATAAAGAAGAGGATCTGCCTTAAGACTAGGTTATTAGAGTCTCTAATAATAGCTAGACTACTAATAAGCTTAGTCTAGACTAGATAAACTACTTTAACAGGTATATAAAGGAGCATACTATTAGCACCTACTATTTGCTTATTATTAATAGTTATAAGAGCTATAACTCTCTTAAATTCTAGCAGTACTATAAGGATAACAAGACAATTACTCTCTATTTACCTCCCTACTTATTACATCTTATACAGCCCCTTAATGTAGCTTATTTTGCTGCTTTAAAGAAGGTGTATAGGCACTAAGCTAAAATTCTTATACATAACTAGATTAACTACATTACAAAGATAGAGTTCCTACCATGCTTTATACGCGCCTATAATGCTGTAATTACTTCTAGCAATATTTAGGGAGGGTTCTAAGGCACTAGACTAGTCCTGTTTAACCTATAATAGGTTATAAGCAGCCTTAATATAAAGCTGCACACGCTATTACTACCACTACCTATTAATAACAAGACCTAGCAGTTGCAAACCCTAAGCAACACCCTTAAACTTAGGTCACAATTAACGCTTGTAAAGACAAGGATTCAGAGGCATGTAGATAGCTCGCCTGCCTCTATAGTTAAAGCGTTTAAGAAGGTCTTAAAGGGGGCAGCTATAATTGTGCACAAGCTAGTGTTAGCACAACAGGAGATTGCTAAGCTTTAAGCTGCTAATAAGGCAGCTACACAATAAAAATTACACAAAAGAAAGTAGATTAAGAAAGAAGGTACTCTAGTAGTTAAAGAGGGCTAGCAATTAACAGCTCTAAAAGAGTTTAGGGCGCGTGGTGATGGTAAGAAAGCAAAGAAGCAGGTGCGCGCTGAAGTGGGTGAGCCTTCCTAAAGGCGCTGTGGACAGTGTAGTAAGACTAGGCATAACGCGCGAACGTGTAAGAAAGAGGTAGAAGTAGTTTCTAAATAATATTACAGGCTATACTGTAGTTTATAGCGCCAATTCGGGTTGTTTTGGGCCATAATGGGGTGGAGTTTGGTGGGGGCTTGGCAAAAGTGGGCGACTCGCCTGTGTGGGCGACTCGCCCGTGGAGTACGTTAAGCTAAAATTAATAAGGGTATTTAATTATATACTGCTGCTACTGTCCTAAGATTTTCTAGTGTTAAGTCACCTGTGAAAGTTGTTGTTGCTGCTATATTTTAAAATAACGTAGATTATCACCAAGCTGGCCATATCACCAAACCAGCTATTTTCTCTTAGCACGACTAACACAAGTTACTACAACTATAACTACTTACTATTAAATAGTAACCTAGTATACTACTGTCAGATAAGAGCGAGCGGCGAGAGGTCGGATCTGCGCAATCGAGCAGGGACCTGTCGTGCAGCCAATCAGCAGTTGCCAGGTCGATTAAGCGAGACCTGGCAACTCCTGATTGGCCCGCACACCGGCGGCCGTGAACAGCGCTAATTCCCCCCCACTTTAATCCTGTAGCAACTAGCACGACGCTATAGCAGAAACACTATCGCCACAATTATTAATATATTATTATACCACCTAAGATCTTGTTAAGCACATACTCTGGCTCACAGTATAAGCATCTGACAATTAAGAGTCTCACTGCTGCAACTAAACTGCTGCAACCTCACTGCTGCAACCTCACTGCCGCAATTAAAATGGCGCAACCAGCGTACCGCGACCCAACAACAGTCCTTAGGGACCAAGCCGACTAGACTGGCTGGCTCACGCAGCTACAGGCGAGATGCCTGTTGCGCAATATCTAGGACAAGATTAACCTAAAGACAACTACACTACTACTATTAAAGCTACTCTTGCTAAGGGCTCTAACTATTACTAAATACGTGCTAGCTGCAAATACTAACATACTATTAAGGCTAACTAAGCTATTAACAACAGGCTAGAAGGTATTTAAGGAAGACCTTAAGTATTACAAAGTACTCCTTAAATAATATAAGAATAATTAATAAAAATATAAGGAGGAAGTAAGCCTTTAGTATATTATTGTGTTTATCTAGTTAACTGTGTTGCTATATCTACTGCGCACATACTGTCTTCCTAAGAAACTACTGTAATAGTAGATTATAGACCTACAACTTACTGTTAGAGTTAATAAATAAATTAAACAAGAATAAGCCTAAGACAGATACCTCTTAGTAGGCTGGCGGATGGGTAGGGTATGCTTTTTTACGTTTTGGCTTATAGCTTCTTAACTAGCAGAGATACGCTTACATAATCTATTATTCGATAGAAGCGCCTAGTATTGCGCCTTCTAATAAAAAAAGAATTAGCT